CAATGTGGTTTTTAATCACTATTATTGTTCTTATGCAGTATCTATAGCTGTTTTAAAGCAAACTAACGTATCTTAGGCGACTGCGTGAAGATGAGAAGTTGCTGGAACAAACTAATATCCTGTACATATCCAACAATGTTCAGTCAGGTCATCTGGACAGTTTCTTTTTTTGTTGACATTTTGTCCTTCATCCAAAGGACTTCATCAGTTCGAGGAGCCACAACAAACAGTCCCACAAGCAGCACACTCGTATAGTGGACCAACCAGTTTGATGGTGATAAGATGGTTTATGGGGTCCGCCCTCTCCCCATCGACTCCTCTGAGGCAGCCATGGCCAAAGTGGTTCAAAACACCAAAGTTCATGCTCAATAATCCAGGAAAAAAATCCAACAAAGAAACCATCTTATCACCATCAAACTGGTTGGTCCACTATACGAGTGTGCTGCTTGTGGGACCGAGTTTGTTGTGGCTCCTTGGACTGATGAAGTCCTTTGGATGAAGGACGAAACCTCTCAAAAAAGAAACCATCCAGATGACCTGACTGAACGTTGTTAAATTTTTTACCTGGATTATTGAGCATGAACTTTGATGTCCTGTACAGAATCAACAAAGTTTCTTTCCTTTGATAGTTTGTCAAACAATTACTTTGAAAGTTCATAAAAATCCATCCAATAGTTCTTGAGATATTTTGCTAATACCACAGACAGACAAACAAACACTCATAGAAAAGGGCAAAATGCCCAATGAATGAGCTCAAAAGTTAAAGGTTACAAACTTCATGAACCAAAGACACTTTTCTTTCTCTTTATGTCTTGAAGTCTAAACAATGCTGCCGTTAAAAAAAAGATGATCCGGTCTTCTGTAACGCACGGCTTCTGCAACATTATTTTAGTTTGCATCACTGTGCACAACGAGGGTGACTAAGCAGAAACAATTGCCATAGAAAATGTAATATGGATTAAAGGTCAAAACATTTATGTATAAAAACAATGTTGGAAGGACCTTGTACACATTCTATAAATAATTTCTCACTTTTGTTTAACAGATACGACCTCATCACCCATAAACTCCTTCATACTGTAATCATCAGGAGCAAAGTCGACCTTGTTCCCTGACAGGAAAACATGCCAGCGTTGAAACTTAATAACCTTTTTATTTTCTGAGTAATTAACTTTTGTGCAGAGTTATGTGTCCCACAAAAGAGTTGGTTCGTTATGTTAGTTTGGTTTTAATCCAATGAAAAATTAAAGATCGGCCGGCGGTGGAGGTATCGTGACTTCAGTGAAATGCTTGTACAGGATATGCTTCTGTTCACAAATACATACGTTCTAAACGATGAGAGGGAACAAATGTCTATGTTTATTTTACAACCAAGACAAGCTGAGTTGAGGAGTGAGACTGAGATGATTGGTTGGACGAGTACCTTGTAGGCAACTTTAGATTCTGTCATCAAAAATGACTGAGTTATGTTCTTCTTCTTTTACACCTGCTTCTTGTAGGTCTCCATAAAGTGATCATCTGCCTCCATCTCACACCATCCCAGCCTCCGTCTCTGCCACACACTGCAGAGATGAACCGTCTCTGTGGTCTTCCTTTGTTCTTTTGTCCAATATGTCCACTGCCCCATCAAACCATGTTCAACCTCGGCCTCGCCTCTCTACCTTTGTCTCCACTTGATGAAAATCTGAACATCTTCATGTCTTTATTGTATTGGTGCCACTGCCTCCAAACCAAATATTTGAGCAGGACTCACCATCTTGTAAACCTTCCCTTTCTTAAAGCTCTCCTTGTGTCACAAATCCCCTCTGACACACATCTCCATCCACTACTCCTGCCTGTTCTCTTCTTCTCCTCTCTTGTATTTTGCCTGTTCCTTTGGAGGGTTGATCCTAAACTCACCCACCTTCAGTGCTCCTTGCAGCGTCACTGCTCCACCTCTGTCCCAATCCTTCACACACATAGACCCTGTCTTGGTTTGACTCACGTTCCTCTTAGCCCCAGAGCCTCCACCTCTTCAGGCTCTCAAACCTGCTCCCTACTCTCACTACAGATCACAGTGTCATCTGCAAACACCTGATCATGAAGTCGCCTCTCTGACCCCATACAGCAATGTTTCCATCACCATTGCAAACAAGAACGGGCTCAGAGATTCAAAGTCAGGTAACTGTGAACTGGTCAATTTCAGCCAAGGAACAAATATCTGCAGGTCCTCTAGTAGCAACAAGTATTAGTATTAGTAGTAGTATTGTATAATGTAATGATTGTTCCATATTCCATCTATTGTAATGAAGTTTGGGGAGAAGCATGCAAAACAATTACAAATCCTATTTTTATTTTACAAAAAAGAGCTATAAGAATTAGTAGGAAGTGCTATGGTCACCCACTCTTCATCAATTGAAATTATTAAAATGTTATGATTTAGTTGAATATAGTATTTTACAAGTGATGTATAAAGCTCAAAAATATTCCCCCCAAATATTCAATTAAAATTTGTTGAAAAAGAGAGTCATTATAACCTTAAGGGAATGAAAATGTTTGTGAAACCTCCATTTAGAACTAGTCTGAAGGAGCTGTGTTGTAATTCAGGGAACAGGATTGTGGAATTGCCTTGATATCACCATAAACATTTCTAAAACAAGTTATATGTGTAAAAAGATGATGAAGTTAAAATTGTTCGGAAAGTATGATGCCATGTGAAGGAGGCCTGATGTTTTTTGTTTTCACTTTGGGGATTGTTCAAGTTGTTTGTTTGTTTATT